AAAAAGTTATAAAATCCTTCAGTGATTTTTAATAAAAAAAAAAAAAAAAAAAAACAAGTAAACTTTTTCAATATAAAAAGAGAACTTATAGCAATATTTATATAAAGTTTAATTCTTAATAAAAAACTTGCACGCATTCAAAAATCAAAATTCATTTTCATTCTTTCAAAAAATAGAAGATCTTTTTTTATAAAATCAATCTTTCTAAGTTGACTAATAAATTTATCCAATAAATTTAACTTTATCTAATTTTTTTTCGCTAAGTACGCGTATTAGTCGTTAAAAGCGACTAAGTCAAAAAATAATCTAATCTGTCCACTAGGATCAATATTTTAATCCCTACTAACAATTTTCACGCAAAAGCAGCTCGATCGATGCTCCCTAAACGCGTTCTCTCGATTTCAGTTTACCCTTCGTTAAACAACACGCGATTCCCTTTCTTCTTTTTTTTTTTTTTTTTTCTGAAAGGAGGGCGTGCATAAACGCAATCGAAGCTGCGCGCGGATTTGTTACGCCGATTACGTATCAAATTCGGAGCGGAGAAAGCCGTGGGCGGGGAACGATTCTCCGCGCCGATTTTTAATGGCACATTTGTGAGTCAACCGAGCGAGATGATGGAACGACGCCGTCACGGACAGAAGTCATGGGGTGCTCTAACGGAGCTACCAATCTGAAATTCAAAACGGGTGCTCGTAAAGGTTTCACCGAAGACATAATACGGGTGTACACACTCGGATGCTCTAATATTGCTAATTGAGCGCACGAAATACACGTTCCTCGCAATACGGGAAACAATAGAAAAGTTTTGTCATTTTTTAAGGTAAAAAAATGACTAATTAAACTGATTAATTTGGACTCTCGCGTTTAATCATTTTTACGATATTATTTTCTCTTTGAAACGAATTTACATGAGTGTATTCCTTGATTCTGTATTTATATTATATTATATTATTATTTATATTATTATTTATATTATATTATTATTTATATTATTATTTATATTATTATTTATATTATATTATATATTATTTATATATTATTATATATTATTGTATACTCTTGTTGTACACTTAGTTTCGTTATTAATAGTATTTTTTCAAAAGATTTTTTTTAATGATTAGAAAATAAGTATCGTACAGACTTTGAATGGACCAGTTTGTATATCGTGTTTGATAATATAATTTACATGTGGAGAGAGATATCGAGTCGATAAGAAGGAAGGAAACTGTATTATTACACCTCAGATGTTTCTATACTTGTTGTTTACTGCAGTTTCTCTTTTACTAGGGTGAAAGTTGCATATGGTGGTACGTATCCTGTGCAACATACAATGCTCGGAGAAAATGTTGGAAAATAGAAGTGTATAAGAAACATTTAACTCTTTTCAATTAATAGAAATTTAAATCAATTTGAATTACAATTGTTGCATTGAAATTTTTACATAAAAATTCGAACTTTATATTCCGATGAGTTAAAATAAAATATTTTGACCTTACCTATTAACTTTTTTCGATATTATCGATATTCATTTATCACATTTTATATGTCTCTCACCTTGTATTGTAATTAGTAAAATCTCTCAGGGCGATTATAACGAAACGATCTAAAGAACAGGTTTCACAACTACAAGTTCGAGATTCGGATTCGAAAAATAAAGCAAGACTGTGCCATCATCCCTAAACGAACACTTATATATACTCTATCGACTGAAAGTTTGGGATCACATTTTCAATTTTATTTTAAAATATTTTCTACGTAAAAAAAAATTTTTTTAATTTTTTTTCTTTTTCCAAAAATCTATAATTTTTACAAAAAAAGAAAAACTAATTCGTTCACCGAAATCTTTCTTACTCGAAAACTTCGATAGATCGAAGATTTCAACTCTATCCTCGAGATTCGATTTATCGAAATTCGATATATATATATACATAAATTATATAACTTACGAGTATCAATGATTCTGAACGTTTCGAATCAATCGTACGTACGATAGATCGAAGATTTCAACTCTATCCTCGAAATTCGATTTATCGAAATTCGATATATATCATATATATATACATAAATTATATAACTTACGAGTATCAGTGATTCTGAACGTTTCGAATCAATCGTACGTACGTATATCAATCGATTCTCTCTGTCATTTACATATCCAAAGAATTAAAGTTCTCAGCTTTTGGTGCCACGGTACCAATATACATTGCGCTATGGGAGTGCATATAATAGACCGCATTAATATTCCGGAACACGTTTTGGCTGTGATATATTATCAGCTTTGCACTCCCCTAAAACAATGACGCGGGGAATCATGGGAGGGGAACGATAATATTTCGAAGGATCCTACCCACGCGAATTCGTGGGGCACAGGCCTTGCCGTCCTAAAAAGTAATGCCCCGTGTCTCTTAAAAGATTGTAGCGGCAATCGTATGGTTTTATGGTATACCGGGTGTTCTAATTTCAATATCGAACAATATCCGTTGAATAGTGTAAGTCGTTTATTATTTTTTTTTTTTTTTACATTTTCATGTTTTTAATATTTTTATATGTTTTTAAATTTTATTTATTGCTATGTTTTAATGATAAATCGATAGATTTCGCGTGACGTAAAAATTTAAAATTAAATTAATTTTATAATTTTTTTACATCGTCTTTTGAACAATATTTCCTTTAATTTCAAGGAGATCGATTAAAAATTATTATCTCGATTAATTTTAAATATATATATATATATATATATTTGTTTTTTAAGATTTGTGACGAACAAAATGGTTTTTGATTTTAAGGATTTTGACGATATATTTTATCATCCTCACAATGCTGAGGTATACGTCATCCACCTTATTTCGCGTAGGAGTAACGTAATCGAGCCGTATTATTTGAGTGTTAGCAGAGGCGAAGGGCCAAGAGATAATGATTATTATTAGCAGTACTAAATTATCCGCGATGAGGTATATTTCTCCATTAATGCTACTAAAAATACGTACGTTTTCTTTGTCGTTTCAAAAATTGCCTCGAATCAAAGCCGATTAAATTAAGCAATATATCCCTTATATATCTTGATGAAATTCTCGAGAATATTCAACCTATCCTTTCTTTTTTCTCTCGATATTTAATGCCAACTCGAAAGAGGTGATGTCGAAATCTATACATACGAATTTTTACAAATTTTTACAAATTCTCTCCCATGAAAATCCACACGTTCCATTCATTACATATTTCACGTAAACGTGTAATCGGTTTCAAAATATCACATTCCTTTTTCAATACGAAATATTTTTATACTGAAATGAATTATTATCCAATTGTTAGATCCGGAATTTAATTAAACGCATACATCGATAACTCTCCTCGGA